GTCACTAACAGCGATACCAGTGGGGCCCATCCATTTGGCGATTCATACATGACAGGGTTAATTACATAAATATATATTTTTTAATTTATCACAAATAATGCGGATTAAAAAGTATTGACACAGATATTGTGTATTTTTTTAGGTTTAGAGGCGGGGCTCCAAAAGACTAAGGCGGGGCCGCGTTTTGAAAAATAAAGAAGAGTCAGAGGTGCTGGCGCCTGAGTCTGCAGCATCCCCGCCATCCACCACTCCTTTTCTTTTTTAAATCCTATCGGCCAAACCTCCCTCCTCTTATCTTCTTCTTCTTCCTCACCCAACATTACACCCCACCCCCAAACGCCGCTACTACCTCACCTGAACCAGACCGCACTGCCGTTGCCTGCAGACACAGCGCCACTGCCGCAAACACAAAGGCCGCCGCCCCAGACACAGGCGCCTCCGCTGCTGATAGAGGCGCCAGCGCCTGAGTTGACGGATTTGTCGTCCGACGAAGATGAAGCAGTCGCCGGCAGAGGCAGGGGGAGAGGTCGGCGAGGTTGTGGAGGCGGCGACCGTGTTCGTGATGAGAGTCTCGTCAGCGGCGGCCGGAATCTCGCCGCCGACGGGTTTTTTTTTGCGTTTTTTTAATTAATATTTTTGTTGCTTTTGCAGTTCCTAGGCTTATGGACCGTTATTCAATGAGACTACCACCTGAGACAATTGATCCAACTCCAGTCGATCCAGTACTTCTTTGGGGACATGGCCAACATCGTATCGACTCAGTTTGGGCAAACGAGGTAAGTATTTGATAATTAGAATAAAATATAGACTAGGTAAGTATTTGATGAATTCTGATGAAAACGAGGTAAGTTTGGGAAAACTAACATGGTCGTACCTCGAACATGATAAGATCGATCAGCAACCTATAGTGCACAAAACTTATATTAATTCAATTTCATTCGTAATAATTCTAATTTCACCTAGTAAATTCTAATCTAGCTAATTTCAATTTGATACGTAATTCTATTCTAATTCACGTACCATGAGCGTTATCAGCCATATCTCGGAGCGGCTGGCTTGTCTAGTGTTTTGTCCCTGGTCCCTATGAACTCTGATGCGAGTTTGATTACTGCGCTCTAGAGCGATGGTGACCCGAGACGTCGACCTTCCATTTACCGTTTGGTGAGGTCACGATCATGTAAGAGGATGTTGTGACACTGTCCAGTCTGGCGATCGACAGTGATGCCATCGTAGTTGACATACCGGATGAGGAGTGGCCGACAATCTGTTTGAGACTGTTAGGACGGATTCCAGATGATATTTATGGCGGTGCTGTTAGGATTGTTTGGCTGAGGGAGGAATTCAGTCATCTTCCGGCAAATGCATCCCAGGAGTTTATAGAGCAGTTTGCACGAGCTTATGCTCTATCTCTGATGGGAGGTTTACTGTTCCCGGATCGGTCTGGAGCTACGGTACACCTACAGTACCTACTTCTGATTGAGGATTGGCAGAGAACTGGATGGTTCGCCTAGGGAGCAGCTGTTCTATCCTACCTGTATCGTGAGATGGGTAGGTCAGCTTTGCACATTACGCATTCCTCCACTTCTCTAGGAGGTGACCTTGGTGGATGGTTCGCCCTACTGCAGCTCTGGGCGTGGGAGTGATTCCCACATCTGACACCGCGACATTCAGAGATGAGGCCACAGATTGCCGAGGATGCATCCCCACGGGGTCTTCGATGGCTTCCGGCCAGCACTCGTCAGTATGGTGACCAGCTATTCCAGTACAAGTTGTGGTTTGACGAGATGGAAACCATGCTGGTTAGTATATTTTTCATTTTATAGAATAAATTTCATTCGTTTGTTTTAGATTTAGGGATAATAACTTGACTAGTTTTTTTGTGTATTGGCAACCTTACGTTGAGAGAGCAGTTCATCTTAGAGGTAGTGTGATACAGTCTAAGACATTTCAGTGCCACTGATCTACTTTTCAGCGGTGATGTGGCACCATCCAGACCGCGTGTTCCGGCAGTTTGGCATGAGGCAGCATGAGCCTCATCAGCCACATCCTAAGGCTGAGGTTAGAATTTTTCTACGTCAGACTACTCGTGGGCCATCGCGTGGCGAGCAGTTGGTACACGCCTCCAAAGATTTGCTTGCTTTCTGGAACCGTAGACATGAGTTCGTAGCGACAACTCCATATAGTGATGAGGTTTTAGCCTACCACTATATGGAGTGGTATCGAGATGTCACCAGACGTTCAGGCACATGGAGAGGAGCTGCAGTGGAGGCATTGTCTCCCAACCCGTGGGACACTATAGAGGGTTATGCCACCTTTTAGGAGACGATGTGGAATTATGAGCAGCATCTTCAGTCTCAGCAGCATGGTGGCGGGTACCTGAGGAGCAAATTCAGTCTCAGCAAGATGATATGTTCAGTACACAGGATCAGGATGGTGGTGTCGAGGGAGATCGGCCCCAGGAGTATGATGGTAGGCCTTTGAAACACCCTAACCCGTGGGCAAATTAAACTCAAACTTTAAAATCTCAATCTGATCTCCAGTCTATACCCATAATCATAAATGTAAACATCTAATAATCTCTAATGTTGTTGTTGTTGCTACTGAACCCTTGACTAAGCATCCTATGTGACGCTTATACTGCTCTCCTCTAGCTGGCTTGCCTCAAACAGCTTTCTCGATCTCGCTTCTTACTAACTGCTCCTCTAGCTGCAACTATCGGTCTAATTCTCGCTTTTCCTTTACTAAATCCTGGTGAGGGAGTTGGGGTCAGTCTACTCCCTTACGTTTTAAACTTTCTAATATTCGAGTACTTTGCTTAAACACTTAACTTTAACCGGTGGAAGTTGTTTTGTACTTGATAACGATGTAATTGCACATGTTTGCGCCCCTAGTTCTTATCCGTTTGAGGGGCATATTCGTGTGTTGTGGCCTATTTTATGCTAGGTTATGTTCCTTTGTCCCATTTCAGGTCCTAGCACATAAAGTGAAGCATAGGCGCAAGTTTCAAGTCAATCAGAGATCAATTGACGATTCGAGAGAAGAAACTCGGGCATGACCTGAAGAAGAATGGATTTCTACCTCACTTTATGGACAAAGAATCATGCAAGCTTGTTATGAAATGAAAGAGGACGAGACTACGAGCGTCTGGGATCAAACGGCGATTGATTCGGAGTCCGGACGAGGGAGAAACGAAGCATTAAACAGAGGCTGAGCAAGCTGCACGGGCAGACCAGGGAGGCTGCACGGCCGTGCACGTGAGCAATATGGCCGTGCGCCTTATGCCGAGGACACGCACGGGCAACCCCTGAAGCTCGCACGGCCGTGCACCCTGGCCGTGCGAGAGGGCTGAAGTTCGACTAAATGACACGCTGCGTTTTGAGTTGCACGGCCAGAATGGTGATATGCACGGCCGTGCACCCTGGCCGTGCGAGTCGGGATTTCCTGGTTTTAAGCCAAATTCCGAACCAAAGAAGAGGGAGAGCTGGGTTTTGGATCCCAAACACCCAAGGGACGAACCCTAGAGAGAGAGGGCGATCTGAGGGCATTCTTGGAGTAGAGAAGGAGGATTTCTTCGCCTTGGAAGCTCGAGGAACAAGCCCGGACTTGAAGACTGATCATCTGAAGATTCTTACTGCAGTCTCTCTCTTCTCTATGGAGTAACTTCCCTTCACTTAGGTTTTGAGGAACCCTAGCTATGTTTGTTTGATTGGATGATTGTATGAGTACTCTGACTGGATAATCTTGAGTTCATATTCAATCTATGCATGTTTTCATGATTCAATTCTGCTTTAGTCGAGATTATTGATTCTGCTTTGATTCTATGAGAGGGAATACCTGATTAGGTCAATAGAGCACCATAGATTGATAGTAGTGGATCGATTGCTTTAGTCGAGGGTTGATTCACTGCTTTGTATCGATTGAGAACCCCTTTCGATAGAGGGAGTCTAGTTCAGAACGCCTTGATCAGTTGTTCTAGAGAAGGATACGTCCCTCTAGGCAATTGACTCAAGAGGGCCTTGTTCCTTTAGTCGAGACTCAAGGTCTAGTCAAGGATTCTCCGCATTGTGAATGAAAGTGAAACAGGTTAGAGATCATCAATCATTAATCTGGCTAGTGGCTAGGGGGAATCATACCTAAGTGAGTTCCCAACCTGTAATTAGATTAACTTTAACTGTAGATTGCTAGAGTAGTTTTAGTTCTTTTATCTTAATCTGGTTTGCTAAATAATAAACTGAAGCTGAGTAATAGTAACTCTAGAGACCCGTGGATTCGATATTTATCACTTGAGCCACTATACTGCAGTCCCTTTCATTGGTTACACTTGGCCTTTGTTAGGTGTTGTGTCGTAGCGAGCCAGTACTTCCATTCTTAAAAATCTTAACACTTAGAACTGTATGGGAGTAACTGTTACTCTCCATTCTTAAAGCTCAAATCTCAACTTAAACACTTGACTGACACTGGGATCCCTCACTAGCTAGTCCGGTTGCCAACTCATACATATGAGAAGCCATCTAGGCTTTCCTTAAACTTAAACTTAGTTAGGGAAGTCGTAACGATTCATCCCCCTAACATCTTAAACTTATCGTGGTGGCTCTTCACCACGATTCTCAAGGGCATAACTGCTGCCCAACTTAAATATCTCAAGAGCATAACTGCTGCTCTGTCTTAAAGATCTCAAAAGGTAACGAACTGGCGCTAGTGACTAAAAATACTTAAAACGACTTCACCTTCTTTGAAGGTGAGTTACTTCTTAAAAAGACCTTGTTTCTTAAACTTTAACAATAACTTATACTCATAAAAATTTCAAAGTAATTAATAAACATTCACTTCAAGCATAGCTCAAACAAAAATACCTCAAACCATAACTCAAGCAAAGCACAAATAATCAATCATACACATAATCAAGCAACGATAACCAAATCGCTAATAATACTTAAAATCACAATACTTAAAAGAATATGTAAGACGTAGAATTTACCCCCTTTACACTCACCTTATTATCAAGTCGATTTACTTGAACTAACCATCGTCCAACGGTTGATCGCCTTGAGCCCTCGTTCGCATTCATACTTCCACATTCCCAATCCATGGATCCCTCTTTTGCTCAAGAACGAACACCTACTCTCCCGCTTTTCAAACACCTACCAGAAATAGTGCTCTCCTCATATATTCAATTGGGAATCGCACATGCAACTTACTAACCCTATCCCACGATTCAGGGTGGAAAATTTACCTCCAGAGTAGCTTCTTCGGAGAAAGTGAAAGGAACTCGCTCAAAGCTTCCACTCGCTTCATTTGCTGCTCCATTCTTAGTGCAAACGAGCTTCCTCCTCCCTAAGCGCCATTCTTTTCCAAGCTTCCCCCTCCTTCCTTCGTAAAACCCCATCTCTCCGATCCACCAGCTAAAGCCGAAGCGACAAAATAGAAGAACCAATTCACCAGACGTGAAGAGCACAAAAAAATGGTGAGCAAACCATGGAGGATAATCCCGCAGCCAGGCTATGATGAATGCCGGTTCGAAGGCCCACTCCCCCACACTTGAACATCGTGACCTTCGAATCTTCCACCTTAACTGAACTTTCAGGAACAGGAAGATTTTTATCGTGAGCATTGATAATGGTGGTGTGAAGCATGTGGGACATAACCACGACGAAGGAGATAGAAGGATGGTCCCATGGCGGCGGAATTAGGGATTTGGGCGGCTAAAACTCGTCTCTTCCTCCGGGTTGAGGCTTTTGGTTTTATATATATATATTAGTAATAATAATAATATAATAATTTATTATTACTAATTCACGGTTGCAACCCTTCGTACGTAACCGTTAACCCAACCGTTCACGTATTATGGTCGAACCGAAACCCAAAGTTCGGGGTGTTACAGCCTTCACGTAACAGGGTGCCTGCGAGGTATGGTACTGGCGACCATCTAGTGGTGGAGCATGGTGGCCGTCGTGGTGGTCGTTAGTGAGACTATTATTTTTGTTATGTTATTATTATGTACTTCTTTGGGACTATTATGTGGATTATTTTTAACTTCATGTATTATGTTATTAACTATAAATACTAGGAACAACAAATAACAAACAACAACTCGGACATTTTATAATTTGGCCAACAACAACAAACTACGCATGGAAATTCAACCACTACTTCAAATCATAACAACTATATGAAAAATGGCTAATACCACTGGGAAACCCGAACTATTAACTTTGTGACATTTGTGTCCTAAAGTATTCGATATGACATTTGTGTCACAACGTATGATAGTTGTGTGTCATTTATGTCCTAACGATTTTGTTGACCGTTATAGATAACGGTTGACCAAACGGAAGTCAACATTAACATTGACTTTTGTTGACGTGGCTGCCACGTAGATGCCACGTCAATGACACCTCATATTTTTAATTAAAAATTAAAAAAATAGAGATTTATTAAAAAATAAATAAAATCAGCATCGTCCCAATTCGGTCTCTCGATCCTCGCTATGCTCCCGCAGTTGGATCAACTCGAATAGGATGCTGCTTTACCACAATTACTCCAGCGCCAGTTTCACGGTGGCGGGAACCGGCAGCGGAGGAGGAGAGGAGCGGGTGGCTTTGGACGAGTGGCGTACAAGGCGTAGAGGTTGCGGCTGGATGCGTTGGCGCGACAATCGATGGCTGAAGCTTTGGCGAGGGAGATGATGGAAGCCAACGGCGGGAGGCGGAGGATCCGAAAGCTTGGAAGTGGATAAGCCGGAAGCGGGTCAGGGATTTGATGGAGGCCCGGAACTTCGCTCAGATTTCCCGACCCGTTCACCACCGGATCCCCAATTTCGTTGGAGCTTCGACAGCCGCTCAAAAGGTTTGAACTTTGAAGTAAATTGGCTGAACTGGAATTTGTTTTTGTCTCCTCCCAAAGCTGTGAAACGCCACAACCACCCACAGCCACCGCTTGTCTCCCATCTGTGTTGGAGTTTCTGATTTCGTTGTGGTATTGAGATCTAGGTTGGGTTTCGGAGATGGAATTTGGGATGGATTTTTGGAGATGGTATTTGATATTGGTTTGTTCTTGTTTGTTGCAGGTGACGGCGTCAGAGGCGGCCAGGAGGAGGATGTGTTGTTGGCGGCGGAGGTGAGGATGAAGAGGGGTTTGGGTTTTGGGATTTTTTCTGGATTTGGGTTTGGGGGAAGATGGGTTTGGGTTTGGATTTTGGATCTGGATTTAATTTTTTGTATTTTGTAATTTTCTTTTTGTTAGTTTATTTATTTTTTATAATAAAATAAATAAATAATAAATAATAATATTCCACGTCGGATGCCACATCAGCGCTGACTAGATTTTCAGTTAAAAACTAACGGTCAACGCCAGTCAACTCTAACAGACAAATAGTTTAGGACACAAATGTCATATCGAATACTTTAGGACACAAATGACACAAAGTTAATAGTTCGGGTTTTCTAGTGGTATTAACCCTATGAAAAACAACAACAAATACATTTGATAAAAATTCGACCAAACTACATACCATGTCTATTACCACTACTTCCTCTTCCACCACCTCTCCCACGTCGTTGGCCAACACTTCCTGTTCGCTGGCTCCCACTCCCACTTGCTTGGCCACCACAAGTTGATGCATTATGGCCACTTTGGTTACAGTTGTTACACACTGTTTGAGATACACCCTCTCTTGGCCAATCCATCTCGTTGTGAATTCTTGTAACTCGTGGCCTCCCTGGCTTCCTAAACATGTGCACATTAGGATGGAGAATATGACCATTATGCTTCTTCCAACCCTTATGTTCACCAAGAGGTGTGAAACTTGTCCCATAACAAGCCAACACTGTTTCCAACATGTAGACATCGTTTACAAACCTATACGGATTAGCCCCCATTTGGTTGCAAGATGCAATGGCATGAGAGCAATGAATTTTATTTCCTTGAAATTTCCCACAGGTGCAAAATCCCGCCCGGTTGCGGTCTTCAAAGTGCACTGTGAGTGTGTTTGACCCTGTCATGTTGAAATTGTTGGGAGGAGTCTGAACTAAATAGATGCCTTGACGTCGATCAATCGCTGTCACGGAATGTCCAACTGCCTTTTGTGACCACGGCTTCATCAGCTCTTCGCACTTGGTGGAGTACTATGAAGGACCACTTCTAATTTCGACTCTTGTCTCCAACCTTATCTTATCGAATTTCTCCACCAATCGCCAATAGGTATGTTTCACAAGAGAAGCTATAGGAAGTGAACGAATACCTTTGAAAATACCATTGATGCTCTCTGTCATGTTGGATGTCATGAAAGACCATCGACGCGCACCATTATAGTTATCATGCGCTAAGCTCCAACGAATTTGATGTTGGTCCACCTAGTTATCACAAGAAATATATCTATCAGCCGCCACCTTCTTAAATTGCTCAACTTGACGATCGAACTTCTCCAAGCGTTTTTCTCTGGCTAACAAAGTAAATAACCACACGAGTTAGATAAAATCATGACAAAATTACATTAAATTAAATAACAAAATTAAATGAAGAAGGCTTACCGACTTGAAATAGTTGCTTATACATGATTTTGCTTTTAGTCTTTCTTTGCAAGTTGCTTGCGTAGTGTCGCATGCACCACCTCCACTCCCAACCTCTTCCGATGTCACCCATGGCTTCATAGAGTCCCGCATGTCTATCCGAGATGATGAAGACATCATTTTGATCGGTCAAACCTTGAACGTGATTTATGAACCATGGCCAACTTTCAGTATTCTCGCTCTCCACGATGGCAAATGCTATTGGAAAAATCTTCTTCCGACCATCAAATGAGCTCGCCATGAGTAGACCTCCTTTATACTTTCCAGTAAGAAATGTTCCATAAACAACCATGACTCCTGGACAATTCTTGAATCCATCTATACAAGGTCCTTAAGCCCAGAATACTCGCTGAAAGATCGAATGACCTGGTTGAGCTGAAGGAACTCTTACCCAATCAATCACTGATGTTGGCATTTTTCTCTTTACCACCCGCAAGAATGTTTGCAAATAATCGTAGGATTCTTCCCAATTTCCATGCAACTTCTCCAATGCTCTTTGTTTCCCATACCAAGCCTTCTTGTAAGTAACTTGCATATTAAACTTATCTTTCAACTCGGCCTGCACAGTTAGAACACTCATATTTGGTTGGGCACTAACCAAATGTTTAACGGCCTCAGATATAATATCGACATCAAGATGGCGATGATCCGTCAGTTGAGTCGTACTGCTACAAGAATGCACCAACTCGGCCTTTCTCACAATCCATTCGCTTCCAACATCTCGACATCCAAACCGCACCATCCATGGACAATTTTTATCCTTGTGCCTCAAGAATCTGACCTTCCAGATTGAAGGTGACGACTCCACCAAGCCATATTGACAGTTGCGTTGTAGTGCGTGGTATTTAATCGCCACTTGTGCAGCTTGTTTCGAGTGAAATATCTGCCCCTTGTAGAATTCTCCTTCAAAACTAGCAACAACATAGGAATTACGCCATATGATAATTCGTTGTCCTCTTCATTACCCTGTAAGTAAAAATATGGAGGATAATTAGGCTGCTCTCCCTCGCCATCTTCCTCCCCCTCCTCCTCATCCTCCGCATCATCCTCCTCTCCGTCAACATCGTCATGATCGGATGGCATGCTCCATGTTTCTTCTTCCTCTCCATCTTGATTCTCACCGAGCTCAGCATGTATTTCAGCACCCAAACAATAAGGGTTTTGTGCCATAAAATCGAAAATCACATTCAAACTATCATCATCCACAATAGGCATCGGATAATGAAATAAAACACCATTCTGGAAGACGGTAAGTGAAACCTGTGATAACATCGCTATCTTGTACTGCTTCGTCTCTACGTCGTATTCTCATAATTAGATTCTCACAAAGTTTGTAATATGTCACCCTAGATGGAACCGTCAACTGAAAACTACTAACACCAACGAATTTGACGCCTAAATTATCCTCTACTTTCTCCAATTTCCACCGAACGACTAGTTCAAATCTTCTAAAATCACTAAAAAAAAACTCACTAATTAACTAAAGAAAATCATAATAGCATTTCACTAATATAATTAAAAAAATAATTGTGTTTCTTACCTATTAGCCATTTTTGCAGCAGCAACCAGAGCTTCTCCTCCTCAAACTTCGTTGATTTTTTTTGTAGTGAACAACTGAAATGAAATTCGCTGGTTTTATAGGGGAGTAGCCAACAATACGCCAACGGACCCGCCATAGTCCTGCGCGTCAACGCCAGGTACAATTTCCCACAACATGCCTCAGTCTCACGAGGTACTGCCTCAGTCTTTGGCGCCGCAGCTGTAAACTTTGATTAAATGATCCAAAAAAACAGAAATGGCGGCGACGCCTGAGTCTCAGGTAGTCTCGCTGGTTTTGCTCTCCAAAACATAAGCGAAACCCACTTAGAGCCCAACAGTTAAGAACCCACCAGCCCGACCCAACTTTCATTATTCTTTTGGGCTCCATCATCGCCGAGAGAAGCCGCATCTTACTCGAAAGCAAGCGTTCCGTCGGCTGGAAGTGGTCATTCGCCGGCGAGCTGTAGCAAGATCACAACACTGAACACATAAAAAAAAACCTTCCATCATCTTCAGGGACATGCATCCTCTTAATTTCACTTGTCCAATTAATTGCCCCTCAATCAATTAGGTGAGATTGAAATGATTCCCGGCTTCCTTTTCCCTTCGGACTCCATCAGCTCCGTAGGAAACTAAAACCTAAGCTACTGAAGTACTTTGAATTAAAAAAAACCTAAGCTAATGAACTGCAACACTAAAGCAGCCGGATAAAACAACAAACGGAGAAGTGGAGAAAAATGTCATGTCTTCTGTTTTCCGGTGAGGGAAAACTTGTGTTTGAATTCAATCACTGTACTTTTGACATCTTGAACAACGAAACTAACACGGTTCACTCCTCTCCGAACAATGTTCGGACGAGGGTGTTTGATGTTTTTGATGGTTTTTTGGGAACAAGCTAAGTTACGTTACTCTACTTTGGTAATTTGCAGAGAAAAGGATAAAGTTTGACATTGTGAGTCAAATGTTTGCTTGTGGAACACTGGCTTGTTCTTCGTTTCTCCTATTTATAGGCATTAGGAGTAACTGCCTTGGTAACATCAGATTGGTAGCATCAGGGGGATGAGGATTGAGAAGAAGAACGAGATCGGAGAAGAAATTGACAATTATATTAATTCTTTTTTGTTTTTCTTGTGCTCAGGGAAGCTATTGTTTGGTGTATAGAGCTAGGCTTGTCGGAGGTCCGGTTTGAGGGTGATGCGAAGGTGATTATCGACAATATTAATCAAGCCGACATAAGAGATAGCCGGTTGGGTGCTGTTCTGAAAGAGATTGGCCATCATTTTCGTACTCAGTCTGGCTTTAGTGTGCGTTTTGTAGGTCGGGAGAACAATAGGGTAGCTCATTAGGTAGCTAGGAAAGCCCTTTCTTTGTTCCGGACTATGAGTCGCTTCTTTGATTTCCAGGCCAGGCTGGTTTCCAGGGTGTGACTGCCTATTTTTTTGATCAATATATGATATCTTTTGACAAAAAAAAGTTGTAAAAATGAGATGAAAAATTTAAAACGTTAAAGTTTATTTTTATTATGTTTTAATTGTCACATCACATATATAACGGTAGACAATGAGAGTTGACTGCCACATCAACTAAAATTTCCAGTGTCGTATTATTCTATTATCTTAAAGTAGTCCTCTTGGAGTTGTTAGAAGTATTAGGAGTCAGTCGTATATATTACTTCTGAAGACCAGAAGGCTGACTTGTTGACTAAAGTTGTTGCGAAAGCTCGTCATTGGTTCCTGGCTTACAAACTGATGTTGTGAAAGCACCATCAATTTGTGGGAGGGTGTTAGAAGTATTAGGAGTCAGTCGTAATTAACCATGTATATTTATGTTCATTAGGTTAATTATGCTATTCACGTGATAGGGTTAGGCGCCAGCTGGATGTATATAAGGGGCGGTTGCCCTCTTCTATAACCCAAGTATTCTAGTGAAATATATTGACTCTGAGAGGTTGCTCCTCTCCGTGAATTAGTCTCAAGTCTCAACGATACTCGTTGTAAAATACCACGTTAAACCGGGTATTGTTCTTGGTTTGATCCATTATTTGACAGGAGTAGAATAAAAATTCAAACTCTAATGCATTAGAAGACATGGAATTTTTTTGTAACAAATTAAGAAAATAAGGAAGAAGAAGAAGAAACATGGAAAATGAGAAACACGTCAATGTGAGGACATGGACTGTTAAAGTAACGGGCATAACCCGTTTCCTGGAAATGAAACAAATGATAGAAGTTGAAAACTAAGATCGCCATCACCAGCTAGTTCATATATATTGCATTATAACGTAATCCGATTTGGCTCTTCTTTCATGTCTTTTACGAAGACCACAATTATATATTACATAAAACAATCCGACCCAAACCAGCTTCCTTGCATCTGCGTCAATAAATAGCTACAACAATTAAGCACATCATATAGACCAATTAATTAATCTGGTAAAAAAAATAAAGAAAAGAAAAGAAAATGGGCATCCTCCTCACGATCGCCGGCTTCACATTTGGCGGGATCCTTGTCACCGCCGTTTGGTTCGTCTACCTTTTGGTAAAATCCTACGTCGGGAAGTCAGTCAACAGCCCGGAGTATGCGCCGGTGAAGGGCACGGTGTTCCAGCAAATGCTCTACTTCAACCGGCTGTACGACCACCAAACTCAGCTGGCTAGAAGTCACCGCACTTTCCGGCTGGTGGGTCCCAGCTGTAGCCACCTGTACACGACCGAGCCAAGGAACGTGGAGCACGTGCTGAAGACCAACTTCCACAGCTACTCCAAAGGCCGCTACAATCAAGAGATCATCACCGACGTTTTCGGCCACGGCATATTCGCCGTTGACGGCGACAAGTGGAAGCAGCAGCGGAAGCTCGCCAGCTTCGAGTTCTCCACCCGAGTTCTCAGAGATTTCAGCTGCTCCGTCTTCAGGAAGAACGCTGAGAAGCTCGTTGCGGTTGTCGGAGACGCGGCCGGCCGGGCCTTTGATGTGCAAGTAAGTCGCCCTGCCTGCACCTCTAATTGCAAACTCAATTGGGTTATAAGTATAATATGTTCCTCTACTATGTCGTTTTATCAAACATGTGCATCTACTACTAATTACATCAAACATGCCCATGTACTTTGGAAAAATTATCAAACATGTCCTTCTATTAAAATTGTCATTGAAAAGATTGTCAATCATGGTTGAACCGAGATTTAGACGACCCGATATCGGCAAATGGGAGGAAAATTGTCAGTTTTGTCCCCTGTTTTATTTCTCTGAGTCTCGTCAAAGTGAAATTATTAGGATTATTTGGCTATATAAAAGAACCAAAAAATTTTCAAAGTGAAATTATTCGGGATATTTTAGACATTTGTGCCGCCCAAACAAAAGTTTGCCCGTGGTTAACGGTTTTTGGATAAATTTTTTAACATAAGTGCATGTTTGATAATTTTTTCAAAATACAGGAGCATGTTTGATGTAATTAGTAGTAGATGGGCATGTTTGATAAAACGACATAATAAAGGGGCATATTATACCTATAACCCAATCTCGTTTTTATAATTATTTTTCATTACGAATTTTTTTACCCAAAATCAAACAAAAACATCCTCTGAACAGTTTACCTTTGATCGTCGGGGACAGGCCAACACCAACGCTCGCCTATCGAGTTTTTTACTGTTTCCCTGGGATTTGAAACTGATATAAATTCAACTTTGTGCTATTTCTCCTACGATTTGGCTGTATCTCGATCTCATCATCCCCGTCGCCCCCTGGAGTTTCTAGCCTGCGGATGATGACGGTGAATTGGTGATTGTCGGGCGACGATGATGCTGGTAGTAATTTGGATTTTGGATTGACGGTGGCAAGGATCTCTAAGAATTGGTTTCAGTATGTGGTCTCAGTACAATACATATATATTGTGCACGAGTTTACCTTGCTCTTACAATTACAAGTATGGAAAGGAATTATGAGCAAGTATAATGGCGGTCAATGTGTACTATTCATTATTAGGCAAGATTACGAATTTATGACGGTAGGGAACTAATTCAGGAAACTCTATCAGGATCTCGCTGGTGATGGCGGCCGGCCAACGTCAACGGCGGTGATCGATAGTGGTGGCGCTGATTCTCAAAGAGGAAAGAGAAATAGAAAGAGGAATTATGTTTAGGGTTTATTTATTTCTCTTAATCGAACCTGGTCCAAGAAATTCAAATAAAACCTTTATGATTTGAATCGGCCAGATTTAGTGATAGTACCGGTGCTATACCGGCACCCTAGAATTCTCGGAATCTTAAATAAATATAAATAATAAATAAATAAATAAAATATAATAAAAGGGGTTTGTAGGGATGGCAAAAATATCCGTAACCGTGGATATCCACCCGAATCCGACCTAATTGGGTAGGGTAAAATCCGAACCCGAAGAACTTTTAGTGGGTACGGGTAACACCCGAATATTGCGGGTAATGTATGGGCATGGTTTTCTTATTATCCAACCCGAACCCGCCCGAATATACATATGCATATGTATTTTGTCTACAAATAATCATTATTTTTTTTTAACATATTTTATATTTAGCATACAAATATAATATTTTCATGAAATTTTATTGTTTTAATTAATTTCTTCATTCTAGTGATTTATCATCGTATGTTTCCTTTGTGTATTGTGAATATATGTGTGAATATTAACATATTGGTTGGAGTTATAAAGAGAAATTACTATCCATGGATAACCGTGGATATCCGAAACCCGAAGGGGTATGGGCATGGTTTGAATTTTTTACCCGTTTCTTATGTGGGTATGGGTAACACCCGAACTACTTTGGGTAGGATAACGGATATGCACTATCCGCCCCCGACCCATTGCCATCCCTAGGGGTTTGAGAAAAACACCCTATCCATGTCAGCCATAAAGAGCTCTCCTTAATTTTCGGAATTATGGTATTTTTTTTCTTTTCTATTTTATATATTATTCCGTGTTTTTTTTTCTTTCTAAGAAGCAGTTACCACTTACCACCCATTATAATTTGTTAATCAACGTGTCCCTTCAGATTTTTTGAACGTTTAAGATTGCATGTATTAATTAATTAAAAACAAATTGGAAAACTGTACAGATCTTTTGGGACCATGTAGAATTTAGGGATTACAATGGATCGGGTCAAGGACGGATAGTGCATATCCATTACCCTATTCAAAGTAGTTCGGGTTTTACCCATGCCCATACCCACATGTGATACAGGTAGAAAATCAAAACCATGCCCATACCCGTTCGGGTTTCAGATATCCAAGGTTATCCATGAGTAACAATTTCTCTTCATAACTCCAACTAATTTGTTAACATTCATACGTATTATCATATTACGTAAGAGAAAAAGTACGACAATACTTCACTAGAATGAAGAAAATTAATTAAAACAACACAATTTCATGAAAATATTATATTTATATGCTAAATATAAAATATGTTAGAGAAAAATAATGATTATTTCTAGACAAAATACATGTGCATGTGCATGTGTATAATCGGGGGGGGGGGGGGGGGGGGGTGGTGGTGGTGGTGGTTTCGGGTTGGATAGTGAGAAACCCATGCCCACCCATTACCTGTAATATTCGGGTTCGGGTTTTACCCATACCCACTAAATGTCCTTCCGGTTCGGTTTTACCGTACACAATTAGGCCAAATTCGAGCGAATATTCACAGTTACGAATATTTTTTGTCATTCCTAGTAGAATTATTAATTAGGCTTTTTATGATAAACTTTTAAGAGCCATTTATAAACTCGATTTTTTGCTTTGATGTTTAATATGATCTTCTTTGTAAGAAAGTTATTTTGATAATAACATATCTTGACCAGTTCTTGCTGGACGATGTACCTGTTGATATTTCATAATCTATTATAAGCAGGTTTCCCCTAAAAATAATAATAATAATAATAATAATAATAATAAATCCTCGAATCGGATCAACGACTGGGCACCGAAACCATTAAATAAGTTATAACAGAGGTTCAGTTTATCTTATTGGATGGTTAAGGATACATTGAACAGTTTGAACGATTTGACTTGAAATCAGAAGTACCACCCAGGCTTGACTGACCCAGTTGTTTATTATTTTAACTATGATTTTTTTTACATAAACTAAGATCACCCAACCTCAATCACTAATTTTATTTATAATTTCTTTTCTTCGTTTCCCAACCTCTTTGACAACTCTATTTGGTTAACTATGGATTGTCACACTCACAAGATTACTAATTTGAATTTAATAAAAAAATTATGATTTCTTTTGTTAGATAATTTGAATGTTTTGTTAAATATTTTTAGTGGTAGATGTTATAGGTTTTGAAATTATTTATGATTAATGATAAATTCACTTCTAATTTATTGTATTATGACTAAAATGTTATAGCGCATGAACGGTTTTATAAACGATTAACAACACTGTATAATGATTAACCATAGAACCATCAACAACTAGCTGTTTTGGTTGAACCATCGGTCCGAGATTGAAAACATAGCATTTTATTATATAAATATTATAGATCTCAATTACACGTGAAATATTATAATTTTTATCTAGACGTAATAAACCTCTTTAAAATACGCTTCTACACAATAATATAATGGAATGTTAGGGGAAAAAATTGGTCATGTAAGCACTTCCTCGCTAGACCGCACCCTTCGGAGGGACAAATAAGACAATGCGCAATCCTACTCCCACTCGCTATGGGCCTCCCAAAATCGGCCCAGAACTTCCCTTTTAAACCCCTCTACCTTTTCTTTTTTGGCTGTGAATATTGAAGAGCATTTTCAATCTTTGTCTATTTCTGGGAAAATTTATGATTTCATAAAGAGAATGAGGTTGTATATAATTTTCATTTTTAATATTTTTACTTTCATTAGTTTGTATTATCTAGATTACAAACAATTTCGCCACCCCTCTCCATTCCTCATTTACGCTTAATGTATTTTGGTGGTACACTCACAATTTTTTTCCCTTAAATAACCGGAAAGAGAATTATCCAAAAAAATCAATAATGGGGAGAAAATTTATAAAGTCAAATTTATAAATAGTGTGAATTAATTAGGATGAAGAAGATAGTAAAAATAATTTGGATTTAAAGTATGAAAATTTAACTATGTCGTGCAGTGAAACATTAGGAGTTTAAAAAAATGTTAATTTTTATTAATGGATTGTTTGTCAATTACTTGAAGAAAATGGAAAAATTGACAAAAATTTTATTCTCTCTATCTACTATGAAATTCCGTCAATCACTAATTCATTTTTCATCTCTATTCAATCCCAATATATACCAATAAATCATTCCGGCCAAGGGGTCGGGCACCAACTAGTACGAATAATAAAGATGAGAAAGTTTCATTCTTGACTTCAATTGAATAAAAAAAAATTAATATTTTCGGTATTTTGAACTAAAATATTGTTATAATCAAAAATATTTTTTTTGTAAAGTTACGTATATTCATAGATTAAATTGTAAAAGAAACAATCTATCTACACACTAATATAAGGGGATTCTGCGTGAGGAGAAGTTAAAACACTAATTGTAGCTAAGCGCATCTCTCGGCTGGGCACAAGCGTCCTTTCACCTTTCTATTTTCTTTACACATCTTCTTTTCTATTCCGTCGAGGGAGAAGTAAGTTCATTATTGGGTTTAGCATTTATCGGATAATTATGTTTCTATTTTTAGTTTGGGGTTTCAGCATTTTATTCCGATACTTTATTAGAAAAATATTATCCTAATCAAATGAAATTTGATACGGCTTTCACTCTCAACTCTAATAAAAATTATATGTAGTCTATTAAATAGATCTCTTATATCTCTATAAATATATAGATAAATTTTATTAGTGGAAAAAAAAGTAACATCGGGATTAAATATGTCAACCTTCACTTTAAGTTGGTGATCGGAACAAATACAAGGTCGACTATTTGATATTCTGTTAGACCTTCATATACCATATAAAATATAGGACACAAAATTCTATTTGTACATGCATGTTTCTTTAAAATGATCCACCTGAAAAGGAATGCGATCGACAGGATTTAAACCACGCTGATTAATTGTGGAGATAGAAGTATAAAAAGTTAGTCAGAAGAGCAAATCTCAAACAATATTCATTACTTGAAAGGGACAATATCTATTTGTGTAAAAAATATGTTCTGTATTTGTAAAAAGATTACCATTAAACTTAGCTTTCAATGAAATTTAGGAGAAGAAGGAAGAGTTTTTTAAAATGCGAGAGAACAATAGTACAATATTTATTTTGGAAATAGAGGCTCTATTAATGAAGATGATTGTGTTGTTATTGGTGGGGATGACAATGATAATTATGACAAAACAATTGAGAAGTTCAAAAGAAAATCTGCAGTAACTTCTAATCGAAAAGTGTTTTGAACACATTTTTAAGAGTTGATTCCCTTACATTATTTATTTTAACTTTGGTATTAATGTTAGTTGATGGATCAACTAGGATGTTGTAAAAAATTTCAATTTATGATTCATATTTTTTATTTTTTCTAATAATTTAATATTTCTATTCTCTCATGATAGAAATAAAAATAAAATACTATTATTATTTATACTATTGATAAAATGTATCCTGTGAACGAGGCGGGTTCTAATCTAGTACCGTTTATGCTAGTTCCTTATAAGCGGATTCTAATGTGCCGTGCCATTTTCCCCTTATATTGCCGGTTTCTTTAAAAAATTCCCGGTTATTGTTTTGATTAGGAAAATTGAAATTTGCTTTATTATAGTTTGTACGAGGCTTTATGTATTATTTTCATGATGCTTTGAACATATTAGGTGAAATTAGTTATTTGAGCGCTTCTATTACGATTTAAAGTATTGGTGTTTATCGAGAGAAAAAAAAGTATTGGTGTGTCGATATACAATTAAATATGCACTATGAAATTACTTGTACAAGTTAAGTTTGTATCATAAGAAAATTTATATTATTATGTTACGATACAAGTTCAGTTTGTACTTTTAACGTTATGATATAAATTCAATTTGTTACAAAAAGTATAGGTACTAATTGAATTTGTACTATGACTTTAAAAGTACAAATTCAGTATTTACCGAAAAGAAAAAAAGAACTTAAACATTCATACTTTAAAGTATTGCAAAATTTCTCTCGTTATTTAAAAACAATTTACCCATTACAATTTCCTAATTTAGATAAATCATTTTCAAAATTACAAAAAATAGCCAAACTTGACAATATTAGTTCTACAATGTTTTTTATGGTAACATTTACACTAAAATTATATTTTAGTTGTGCAATTAAAAATCTTGAATAGTTAAAATTATATAATCTAACGACAAAAATTCGGGAAAAGGTAATGGGTCTTCAAGAACTGTAAGTAGCAAGAGCCAATTGTTAGTAGATGTTTTTTTTACGGTTTGGTCTGGTCCAGATAGACCACACTCAATGACAAATGAACAATTTGTTTAGTCAATCATACAAAAAATTGAATCAATAACCAAGAAAAATAATTACTTTTTGCCTTAAAACATTAATTCTAACATGCATGAATAATTTTGATACTTTAAATCTTAGTACATAATAAAGATACAAAGTAAAAGCATCCCAACTTGCACCATCCCAACTTGCACCATAACGTCATAAACATTAACATAATGTCATTTGAATACACAATTATCTCTACTCTCTCGTGAAATGTGGTTGTAAATGAAGGCGCTAGGGACGAGATTCTCAAAATTAAAGTTGAGACTTGGATGTCGTTGTGGTTGTTGGAATAGTGGTCGAATGGGTTATTAACACGTATTGACAAGGGTCCACGGTTTGGTCCGGTAAACAACGGTCTATACCAGACTAGACCAAGGGATGAAAACATCAGATAATACAGACCATGGACGAGACCAGACCATACTTAACGGTCTACGGTTCGGACAAAACTGTGCGGTCCGATTTGTATCATGGTTTTTCTAACGGTCTAGTCTATTTTCCCACTAGTAACTAAACCCACGTACGTAGTCTAACTGCATGAATTCTTCAGGATGTTTTGATGAGATGCACGTTGGACTCCATATTCGAAGTAGGGTTTGGGGTGGAGTTGAGGTGCTTGGAGGGGAGCAGTAAAGAAGGCGGACAATTCATGAAGGCATTTGACGATGCGAGTGCCTTGACTTACTGGCGCTATGCGGATCCATTCTGGCGGCTGAAGAGGCGATTCAATCTCGGCGCCGAGGCTTCCCTCAGGAGCAACATCCGGACCATCGACGACTTCGTCAGCCACGTCATCGCCACCAAGCGCCGAACCACCGCCAAGGTAAGGGTCTTATATATCTATCGATCATATATATATATATAAAATTAATTTGTTTTCTGAAACTATATATATAATATTCCAATGCAATTAATTAATTTCTCGGTGATCGATTGAAGAATGGCAGTGGCAAGGAAGATATACTGTCAAGGTTTCTGGTGGAGAGTGAGAAAGACCCGGACACCATGAACGACCGATACCTGAGGGACATAATTCTCAACTTCATGATCGCCGGGAAAGACACCAGCGCCGGCACGCTGTCTTGGTTCTTCTACATGCTCTCCAAGAACCCTCTTGTCCAACACAAATTAGCGCGTGAAGTCGACGAGGTGGCCGGCGGCAATAATAATGCTGTAGATGGAACTACTAGTATTGTTCACGACTTCATTCAAGGCATAACCGACACGACACTGGACAAAATGCCATACCTGCACGCTGCACTTACGGAGACCCTCAGGCTCTACCCTGCTGTCCCAATAGTACGTAAACAATCAATTTCCATTTCCATATATAATAAAATTAGTAATATCTTAATATATAATAATAGTGGTGACCTGACCTGCCATGCAGGACGGGAGGTGTTCGGAAGCGGATGATATTCTGCCGGACGGGACGAGGGTGAAGAAGGGTGACTTGGTCAACTACTTGGCCTACTCCATGGGTAGAATGAGCTACATTTGGGGGGATGACGCACAAGATTTCAGGCCCGAAAGATGGCTCAACGACGACGGAGCTTTCCAACCACAGTCTCCCTTCAAATTTGTCGCCTTTCACGTAATATATATATATATATATATATATATCTTGTTCGCCGGACGGCCCATTCACTTGTTTGTTTCTTTGGGAAGGAAGGAAGGATATGTGATAATTAATTAATACAGTTTTGATGGTGCTGCTGCAGGGTGGTCCTAGGATATGCTTAGGCAGAGACTTCGCTTATCGGCAGATGAAGATCATTGCGGTGGCGCTGCTTCGCTACTTCCGATTCCAACTTGGAGGCCATGACAATGTGACTTACAAGACTATGTTTACCCTTCACATCCATGGAGGTCTCTATCTCTGTGCCACTCCAAGGCCCGCACCCTGACAGACACATTATAACATTTTGTCGCTGTCTATGTTTTATTTATATACTAATTAATGCTACCTAAAACCGTTCAAGTTAAGGAAAAAGGGACCGCTCAAACTTACGTTCTTCTCTTCTACTACTATTGGCCAGCCTTGATGAAACCCGTTAACTTCCTTTCTATACTCTAGCTGATTTCTTATTTGCTTTACATTAACTGTTGTTTAATTTCTTCCTCAAATTCTAATAATATTAAAGACACAATTATAATATATTTTTGGCCCAAATACACTTGTTTAGCCAAAACTTTGACGGTTTTGCCAAATATAAGCCAATTTTGGGGAAATATAAAAAATAGCCAGAATTTTGAAAGTTGGATGACAATTATAGTCATTTCTATTACATAGTTTGACGACATCAATGACACCGTTAGTCTAATTGACGGAACGATAATATGGCTGCCAACTCACCGGCCACATCATCGTCGCCGTCGAGCAGAACCACCGTCGAGCAGAACCACCGACGACATCAATGACATCGTATTCAGAAGATCTGAATCCTGGATCTCTTGCTCCTCGTCGAGCAGAACCGCCGTCGCAGTATTCACCTCCTCCTCAGAGAGGACCAACACCGGCAGAGGGAAATTCTAGGGCTGGAATTGCGATGAAGATGAGGGATTTTGACTCACTCCTACTGTCACTCTAGAAAATGGCCAAGTGATGACTACTCAGCGAATTTTTATTATTTAGCGGTGAAACTTTAGTGCAGGTTCAAACAAGAAAATAAGTAAAGCAAGCAAGAAGGTTGTTTTGAAGTCAAGAGAGGTCAGCCGGATATGGTTCCCCCTAGACTGCAGTTAAGCCGGATTGTAATTTATCAAGTTCAGTTTTAATGATAGTTATACTGCGGGAGGTTCTTAAGCAGTCTGAAGTCTCCCGACTGGGGATTTCTGCTTCCTGCCTGAGCCCCCTTCTACTTCTCAAAGACGCCCAAAGCGTCAAATCCGCGGTCATGGCCAAATAATACCCGGCCGGGTATTTCTGCTCATGGCCAGGTATTTTTGCTCTCCAGCACACTTCAAACCTAACATGCTCCTTTCGACCCGAAACTAGTTCCTTTGCCTCGATGCCAAAGCTAAGCCCTGAAATATGACATAAATGCACAACCTAGTGTGAAATCGGCTTAAAACACGAGAATCAACGTCTCAAACGGCTCAAGAATAGGGGTAAAAACAGGAGTAAATAATGTTCTATCAAACTCCCCCACACTTAACCGTTTGCTTGTCCCCAAGCAAACCTAACTCAAACCAATGCAACTCTCCAGACCTCTATAGCAACAAACAACCCCGATCGTCGGTAGAGGATTTCCTAGATCATATAGCAGCTTACGAGGTCAACTGGTCTTCTAAGACGTTCCTTATCTCTCTCAATGCGAGTACTAGATTCAAGCCAGGATCATGAGAAGAAGTAGAAGTAAGACAGTCAGTTCATGGATAAAGGGACTCATATCATTCACAACCAAGGACTCGTTGTACCGGGGTGCTCTTTTCACTTCATTTCACCGTTGGAACCCCTTTTTCACTTTCAATTTATTTCTTTTTCTCTTTTTTTTTTTCATTCACTTAGCGGGGGTTCCAACTGCAGTCTTTTGCACGGTCGACCCTTATTAGTCGAGCAAGAGCAATTTTTTTACATCTGGCGCTCGCCAGAGTACTTCTTTTAACTCCTTTTCCTCAACTCGTGTGGAGGGTCAATGAAATTAAGGGGGGTCGGAAGCTCTATCCGTGCCCTTAAAAACACATCCTCAAGTAGGCAAACCGTTCAACGGGTGGAAGTTTTACTTGTACTCGAGATGGCTTAGCTTCATCTTGTAGGAGTACCCCACTAAGGATCACTAAAATCTCTTCCAAAACCCGATTTTTGTGCAATGAACGATGCCACACACGTTTGGCTTACCCCATGTTTAAGATTTAATAATTTCTACATGGAGGACCAACTGCTTTTCATTTTCCACATGAGCACCCTGTTTGATACACGAGTCCATAACACAATCCAAATAGAGTCACCATTATCACATGAATTCAACGGTCTTAGCTCCACAAATTCACAAAATCAACTGGCACAACAGAGAGCTAGATAGGAAAAATCTTATACTTCAACATCCTCCATAGTGCTACATTACCTCCCTAGGTTGTACATTACTATAGAGACTGTCAATTCAAAGCATACTGAGCAGGCAATTTGCAAAGAAACACGTACTTGGAGCCCTCAAATTTAAAAATTTGGACAGTGGACTAGGCTCCAAGCACACAAACAGATCTAATTGAGTCAAAAGAGAAACATCCCCCCCACACTTAAGATCGACATTTCCCTCAATGGAGAAGAGGGAAGGATAAGGGGAACTATGTTACCGGTTCGCATGGACTACATGAGACTGGAAGCGGACCAGTCGGAGTGAAGAGGACTGGAAGCGGACCAGTCTGGGACAAAGCACAACTAAAGGGAACGGAAGAACTCCAACATAATACGTTAGGTCCAATGGTCAGCCCAATAATACATCATCCAAAACAAAAGAAAACAAACCAAATCCAAACTTGTTTACAATCCGACCCAAAACTAAAGAAATAACCGAAAACCGTGGTGGGGTTGCTCCCCACAAGCGCTTTTTTACCGTCTTTTAGCTGGACGCCCATGGTGGATACTCAGCGGGGTGTAGGAACAGGGGCCTCCAAGAACGGATCCACATTGTTCTTGAGGTACAGCTTCAGATTGCGGCCATGCACCCGACGGGTGCAACCACCAGCATTGGTCAGCTCGACCTGGCCATCCGGCAAGATGCAGGCGAGTGAGTACTCAGATGGCCAGGGTGGGCGTCGTGTAGGAGGTGGGACCAGCTCATAGTGGTCTCCACCTTTCTTCTGAGCAGGCTTAGCCACCTGCTGCTTCGGCCGCCACTCCTCTTTGATCCTTTTGCTTGGCGATGAGGTTAAAGGGAGTGGCGGCGAAGGCGTGAGAGGGGGATCCTGCAAAACGAGAGGCACAAAGGGTTACACGACAAGCTCGTGTACCTGATGGCATTCAGCTGCTGGTACGGCTCCCGTGGATTGGGGATGGTAGTGGCAGGTAGAGTTCCCGGGGCCCGGGTATTAATTTGGCGAGCTATGCCACCAACCTGGTTCTGTAAATCTTGCAAAATGGCCCCTTGGTTCCTCAGGCCTGCCTCCAGTGAGGCTATGTTCTGGTCCACCCTCGTGAAATTCGCTTGGCTGGTAGTCATGAATGCCGCTAGAATGTTTTCAGCTCCGTCATCTGATTATCTGGATCCGGAGCTGCTGCTGGCTCGGCATACTACGCTGAGGCTACTGAAATGGTTGCCCCTACCTAGGCTGGCAAGGCTATTGCTGTTGGACTGGCCCCTTGTTTAGCCTAGAAAGGCTGCCTCTTCTGAACACCACCTGCTGGTGCTGGGAAACCAGGTGGTTTGGTGGTGTTGCCATTCCAAGAGAAGTTGGGATGCTGGCGCCACCCCTCATTGTATGTGTTGCTGCACGGGTCAAGGCGTCGAGCATTGGCGATGAAGTCCAACTGCTCTTGGGAGGTAGAAGACTCCCGCATAGCCTAGCAGTCTTCCACCAGATGATTTGAGCTCTCACACCACTAACATTGAGCTATTCGAGGTCCGTCCAGACCTCTGCCCGGAATAAGACTGTTGGGCTACTTCAATGTCTGCACTAACTCAGCCACCTGCTGCTCGAGTCCAGACCTGGTCTCCATGGCGTGCACACCACGGTCTCGGGAATTCCTGCCTCTGCTGCTCTGCCCCCAGGGATGATCTCTGGCAGCCAATGTATTGATCATCTGCTTTAGTTCGGGTGGAGTCTTGGTAAGAATATCCCCTCCTGGGCATAAAGATTCAATCACCCTCTGGTTTTCCGGAGAGAGAGCACTATAGAAGTTCCCCACTGTGAATGCATCACTGAAGGCATGATGGGGACACTGCCAGAAAAATCCCATATACCGCTCCCATGCATCACGAAGCGACTCTTCTGGCTCCTGGCGGAAGTGAGTGATCTCCCGCTGGAACTCTGTGGTCTTTGATGCCGGATAGTACCTGTGCACGTACTTGTCAGCCAGATCGTCCTAAGATGTGATGGACAATGGGGGTTGGGTCTCCAACCACTTCTTAGCATGCCCCTCCAGAGAATGGGGGAAGAGGTGAAGGCGGATTGCATCATCAGGGACACCGTTCAGCTTGAACCCGTTCGTCAGCTGCAGGAAACGGGACAGGTGCACCCTTGCCTCCTCATCCTTCAAGCCATGAAATTGGACAGAGGATGTAATGAGTTGAATCCAACATGGCTTGATCTCGAAGTTGTTCGCTGGAATGGGCGGGTAGAGGATGACAGGGCGGATATCAGCAACCCATGGGGTGTAGTAGTACTCCAAGGTGGGACCCGGCGGCGGTGGATGATGATGAACCCCATCTGCCTGGGGTATGGGGTTGTTCCCCAAGATTTGGTTCATCGGGGGAACCTAGAGAGGATTCCCCTGGTGTGGGTTGTGTTCGCCTTCCATCTCGTACTCTTCCTCAGAATCGCTGCTCAAGTGGCCGTCTATGCGCTCCGCCGTAGCCAGTCTAGCTCGTTGTTGTCTCCTGAGTTGGCGACAGGTGCGTTCAAGCTCCCGATCCAACGGCAGTAAACCTCTCGACTGACTACGGGTCATGCACTACCTGCACACAGTCAAACAAGCAAACCCGTGAAGGCACAAGTGTAACAAAGCAAACAATGTTAAAACGGAAAGCTAAACTAACAGAATTCACGTTTCTTCAACAACCCTGTCACTCTAGAAAATGACCAAGTGTAACCACTTCCTAAAGCGTAGTATAGCGGGTTTGGGTTTTAATGTCAACTCGGGTCCTAGATGTGATGACTACTCAGAGAATTCTTATTATTTAGCGGTGAAACTTTAGTGCAGGTTCACACAAGCAAACAAGTAAAGCAAGCAAGAAGGTTGTTTTCAAGTCAAGAGAGGTCAACCGGATATGGTTCCCCCTAGACTGCAGTTAAGCCGGATTGTAATTTACCAAGTTCAGTTTTAATGATAGTTATACTGCGGGAGGTTCTTAAGCAGTCTGAAGTCTCGACTAAAGGTCTCCAGACCCTCTCAATCTAAGTCTCCAGCGGGCGACTAACCTCCACCGGAGTAAACAGATTGAGGCCCTAACAAACAAAACCTCCACTACCGAAGTAACTTCGGTACAGAATAGTGAATTGGCTCCTCGACTAAAGTCGCCAATTCACCACCTTCAATCAAGGGTGCTCTATCAACCTAGGCAGATATTCTCTTTCTAAGTCAAAGCAGAAATAACAGGAATTTGATCAAGATTCATGCCATTCAATAAATCAAACCTCAATTGAATATAATCAAATAATAGAATCTGTACTTGGGTTCATACAATCAGACCTAACATACAAATCTAGGGTTCTCCATACCCAAATGAATAAGAAAACTACTCCATAGAGAGAGATGGAGAATCGAGCTCAGATGCGGAAACCATACTGTGAAGGATGATAATGTGCTTCTGGCGCTCAATCGGATCTTCTCCAAGCTCAAGCCGGGCTCCAATGGTGATGAAGATCAAGCTAGGGCACTTGGGAACTCTGGTTTGTCGCTTTCTCTCTCTAGGAATCGCTCGGTCTCTCTAAAACTCAGGACTCCTTCACTTTTGGCCTTCTTTTCCCTTAAGAAGCTGTTTGTCGCGATCCCCGGCCTAAATACCCGGTATGGTATTTTGGGTAACGACCGGGTATGTGCAAAACGCACCGTCGGGTAACATGGGAAAATCCCCGGCCATGGCCAAGAATCCCCGACCGTGGATTTCTGCTTCCTGCCCGAGCCCCCTTCTGCTTCTCAAAGACGCCCAAAGCGTCAAATCCGCGGTCATGGCCAAATAATACCCGGCCGGGTATTTCTGCTCATGGCCGGGTATTTTTGCTCTCCATAACACTTCAAACCTCACATGCTCCTTTCGACCCGAAACTCGTTCCTTCGCCTCGATGCCAACGCTAAGCCCTGAAATATGACATAAACGCACAACCTAGCGTGAAATCGGCTTAAAACAAGAGAATCAACGTCTCAAACGGCTCAAGAATAGGGGTAAAAACATGTGTAATTAATGGTCTATCAGATTTTCGAAGATTGCGATGGCAAAGGGAGATTTTCGGTGGAGAGAGGGATTTTTTTTTTGTTTCTACTATTACGAAAGTGTTAATGGTTTTTATTTATTTCTTATTTAGTTTGATTAAAATAAAGGATAAACTTTTGATTATTTTCCACCTAATATTATTTTTGAATAAAATATGCCACGTCATCCGCTATTGTTAGTCAGCACTGTAACACTCCGACCTTTGGGTTAGGTTCAACTTTAATACGTGATCGGCTGGGTTGACGGTTAAGTACTAAGAGTTACAACCGTGAATTAATAATAATAATAATTATAATAATAATAATAATAATAATAATAATAATAACAATTATTATTATTAGCAAATAAAAAAAAATATATAACATTTCCTCGGTCGGGCCGAGTGGCCCTCAAAAAGCCCCCCACCCCAAAGCACGTTATGAAACTCCAACAAATAAGAAGATGATGAATCTTATCTTAACAAATACTAAAGCGTTTTTAATTTAGACCCCCTGCCACGTATCCCTCGATAGCATTTTATGCGGCCATGTCAGCCGCTCTATTTCCCCAACCGCCCCCAACTATACCGCTGTGTTTTCTTTTCCTCTCTGCCCCGCTATTACGGTACCTCATGACCCATGCCGAGAATAACATATTCAAGCGAGCCCAACCGCCCGACCGTTGCTGCTTCTAATCTTACTCACGAATCACCACACATCTCCCCGCCGATTCTGCACCATCATTTTCACCCTGCCGGCAATTTCATTTGTCATTCAATGCTGTGATTCCCTCTACCGATGCACTCCAAACCCCAGTCCCAAGCCTTCTTTCGTTTGAATTTTCTTACTTTGTCATCGCAATGACAAAGGGCTTTCTCTACCCTCGCATGTTGCTCAAAATGACAACCGCAACTATTAGCATGGATAATCACCTTTAAGAGTTCAAAATTATAAATTAGTCACCTAAATAAGATTCAAGAAATAATTAATTAGTTAACTATTTTACATTAGTAGGCTTCAACATTTATATATTACTATTCACCAATATGTTTATAGATATATGGTTCAAGTTAGTGTATGTCTCTTCTCTCTCTTCTCTCTCGTTCTAGGGTTCGACTGTGGATTCACAAATGGCGACCGTCACCGGCGAAGCCTCCTCAGGTGCCGTCGGTGACGGGCGCACTTGGGCGTCGCTGTTTTCGTTCAATCCAGACCTCAAGCTGGATTATTACGAACCGGAATTTATAAATGGATCACTGCGGATTCCAAAATCGGTACTCGAGGAGGGCTCCAAGCGATGGGTTAACTGTTTAGTTGGTCAGTTTCTGGATCGGCCAACTTCCCTTTCTTCCATTCACTTATGGGCGAACTGGATCTGGGGGCGAGATGGAGCTATTCGGGTTTCGTGGTTGGGGGAGCGGCTGATTCTATTTCAATTCCCGACTGCAGAAGTCTGCCGATGGGTCTTCGAAGGAGGCCCATGGCATCATCGCGAGAACTTGCTGTTCCTGCGCAAATGGGAGCCAGGTATCCAACCTCTTATTATTGATAACTCGGTAGTTCCAGTTTGGGTGAAGCTCTCGAATCTGCCGACTGAGATGACGTCCAAGGAGGGTCTAGGTAGAATTGCTAGTTCTTTGGGTAGGCCTCTTTGTATGGATTTTCCTACGAAACAAGGGACCAAGTTGGGGGTGGCAAAGTTGTGTGTTGAAATTTCAGTGAGCACTAATTTGGTGAATAAGCTCAGCATTACTCCTGATGATTGCCCGGAGATGTTTGTTGATGTGGAGTACTGTCATGTCCCGAGCAAATGCGAGAAGCGTCACTTATTTGGACATGACTGCTCCAATCCTGGAGGGAAGACGAAGAAGGTCTGGGTTATCAAACAGCCCAAGGTGAAGCAGCTTGATCTGGTTACCTCTATGGACAAGGGGAAAGATGTGATAGAGGAGTCCTCGAAGGAAGTGGTTCAGGAAATTGTAGTTGCTGAGGAAGAAAAGTCTGCTACTCCTGGTCTGGTTCAAGATGATGATGGGTTCCAAGTGGTTACGCACAGGAAGAATAGAGTGAGAGCTCCTGCCCCGGGATCTATCTCGCGAAGTCCATGGAGTTTGTCAGCTGGCTCGAGTAAAAGTCCATTGGATGACCAGGTATTCCCTTCTTTAAGCAGACCTGTTTTGAAGCGACCTGTGGAACCTCCACCTATTGCTCCTGCTAGGGGTAAGGGTCGGGGGAAGAAGCGGGGAAAATGAAGATACTCTGCTGGAACGTCAGGGGATTTAATTCTCCTGAAAAGCACACTGCTGTGCTGAAAATTTTTTGGAAGTTAAGGTTAGATATAGTAGCTTTGATAGAAACTAGAATTATGTTTTCTAATTGTTCTGATATTCTCTCTAAGAAATTCAGTCAGTTTAAGCATTTGAATAACTACCCTAAGTCTGCAAATGGGCGTATCTGGTTGCTCTGGAAAGAAGGTATAGATGTAGTGAAGGTTGCAGATGGTCAGCATTTTATAAAAGTTAGAGTTGAAGGTCCTATCCCTTTCATCCTCTTAGTGGTTTACAGTCCAAACAAAGAAGCAGATAGGGCTGTGTTGTATGAAGAACTTCTGCTCCATCAAGAAGTTAATGTTCCAATGGTTGTTATGGGTGACTTTAATGCGGTGATTGACCCAGGGGAGACTTCTAATCTTGTGAGTATGAACTCGAGCATGTTTGCTTTTAAGTCCTGGATTGATGATATGAAAGTGTTTGATCATAGGGTTATGGGGTCTTGGTTTACATGGTGGAACAAACAGGAAGAGAACCCCATTGCGAGGAGGCTGGATAGAATTCTCATTAATGAAGTCTGGCTATCTGTATTTAAAGCTAATTCTGCTACTACCTCTCCACCAGCTATCTCAGATCACAGTGGTTTGTTGCTGACAGTTATTCCCGAGGTGCAGAGCTTTCCTAAGCCTTTTAAGTATTTTATATTTTGGACTAGTCATCCTGGTTACAATGAGTTAGTATCAGAAGCTTGGAAGTATAAGGTGTCTGGTTGGCCATATTTTGTATTCTATGGGAAGATTCAGAGGGTTCGTCAGGCTCTTTCAAAGCTGAACAGGAAAGTCTATGCTGATATTTCAAATAGAACGAGGGCTTGTGAGAGTAGACTTGAGGCTTTGAAATTGGCTATACTAGTTACTCCAGATCCTTCACTAGTAGGGGAAGAGAAGAAACTAGCTGTGGAATGTCATGAATTGCAAAAAGCTGAGGAAGGGTTTTACAAGCAGAAGGCTCGAGTTAGAGGAGTTCAAGAGGGTGACATGAACACTAAATTCTTCCATAGTTCTGTGAAAATTCGCTCTCATCACCAGCAGATAACTCGTCTCTTGAATGCTCAAGGACAGGAGGTGACTGATATTCAGCAGTTGGGGCAAGTAGCAGTAGAGTTCTATAAGAAACTTATTGGAGAGGCTGATCCTGCAGTGTACCCACATCCATCTAGTTTCTATGAAGGTTTGGCACTAAAATCTCTCAACCATGAGGAAGCTGGGTTGTTAACTGTTCCAATATCCAGAGAGGAAATTTGCAAGGTATTTAGAAAACTTGGACGAGACAAGGCACCAGGCCCAGATGGGTTTCCTGTTGAATTCTTTAAGTTGCACTGGGGTTTAATTGGCAAGGAGGTTGAGGAAGTTGCTCTGAGCTTCTTTTCTTCTGGCATTATGCCACAGGTTTTGAATTCTACTCTTTTTACCCTTGTGGCCAAGATTTTAAATGCTGAGAGAATGAAAGATTTCCGTCCCATATCCTGCTGTAGCACGATTTATAAGGGGATCTCGAAGATTTTGGCCAACAGGTTAGCATCTGTTCTACCTTGTCTTATCTCCTCATCTCAATATGCTTTCATCAGAGGTCGATCAATCTGTGATAATATATTATTAGCCTCAGAACTAGTCAAAGACTATCATAGGAGTAGAATCACCCCTAGATGTGCTGTCAAAATCGATATTATGAAAGCGTTTGATTCTGTAGACTGGAATTTCTTGTTTGCTGTGCTCAGTCAGATGGGTATCCCTGATCTATTTATCAAATGGCTGAAAGCATGTGTTTGTACTCCTAAGGTCAGTGTTGTGATGAATGGTGGAATGTGTGGGTTCTTTGAGATGAAAAAGGGGTTAAGACAAGGTGATCCCTTGTCTCCATATCTATTTACTGTGGCTATGGAAGTATTGGATGGTATGCTGAAGCTGGCTGTAAAACAGAATCAAATCCCCCCCCCCCCCCCATCCTAGATGTAAGCCATTGGCAATAACGCACCTATGTTTTGCTGATGATTTGCTTGTGTTCACTAATGGTTCTATAAGGGGGGTAGCAGGAATTTGTCGAGTTCTTGATGCTTTCTATAGAGTCTCTGGTCTTAAGTGCAACCCGGACAAGTGTCAGTTGTTTTGTGGGGGAATATCAGAATCTGAACAGCAGTATATCTCATCATATTCAAAATTCCCTCTTGGTACTTTGCCTGTTAGGTATTTGGGAGTTCCTCTTATCACTGGAAAGTTAGCTAGGGCGGACTGTCGTGTATTGATAGAGAAAATCACAGCAAGGATTACTAGCTGGAGGGCAAGAACTCTAAGTTTTGTTGGGAGACTACAGCTTATATCGTCTGTTCTAACTAGCACATTACAGTATTGGATGGGTATCTTTCTACTACCTCAGTTTGTCATTAAGGAAGTAGAATCTATCTGTAGCAAGTATCTATGGGATATAACAGAGAATTCACTGAGGACAAGAGCAGTTGTTTCTTGGGAATTCCTTGCTAGACCGAAGAAAGAAGGAGGTTTAGGGATTCGTGGATTTGCAGTTTGGAATAAAGCTTGTGTACTTCGTCATTTCTGGGAAGTTCTAGCTGAACAGGGGTCTCTTTGGGTGGCCTGGATTAGGCTCTATAGGGTTAAAACATATCAGTCTGGGACCTTAAAGTGTCCTCATCAGCCTCGTGGATATGGAAGAGAATTTTGAAGTGTAGGGAAATTGCTCGCCCTTATGTTTCTTTGCTGCAGGGAAGCTTGGCATGGGATGGAGAGATTATGCAGTCATACTCTATTAAAAGGGTTTGGCAATCACTTCGGCAGAAAAGTAATGTAGTGGCTTGGAAGAAGTTGGTTTGGGACAATATAATTATCCCTCGACGCGGTTTTATTCTGTGGTTAATCATTCAGGATAGATTGAAATTGCAGGATCGGCTTATCTCTTGGGGAAAACCTCTGACAGGCTTATGTTTGCTGTGCCCTGGTGGAGTGGAAACTCAGCATCATCTGTTTGGAGAGTGCTTTTTTGTAAGGTACATGCTTGGACAGATCCTCAAGAGTGCTGCTCCGCCTTTGCTAGTGGATTGGCCTCAAGTATTGCACTGGTGTATTACCCGATGGAATGGGAAGTCTGCTTCTGCGCGCCTTAATAGGCTGTCATGGAGTGTTGTGTTGAGTCTGGTATGAAGGGAGAGGTGTTCTAGGATGTATGGTTTGCATAGTGCTTGCTCTCCAGCAAAGTTAATTGTGCAAGCTAAGTGGACCATTGAGTATCGTTGTATGCTTGATCAAAGCTTGTTAGATTGTTTCATTGCTAGAGGCGTGGGGTAGGGTTTATTTGCTTAGCTGATTTTTGTACAGATTGTTTGTTCCGAGGAGAGCCATAGTGTTTATGCTATTGGTTGCCTGTTCTTAATGAAAATTTGATCTAAGTATAGAAAAAAAAGTTAGTGTATGTCTTACATATGCTTGGCTTGTTGTACACCCGTCCATTTTTTTTTATTTAGATATCGAATTAGCCAGAGTTTGAAGTATAATACTATATCTAACTTCTAATTAGGGCTGGTAATCGGTCGGTATCCGGTATACCGGATAACATTGTGTACCCACCGAATACCGATACCGAATGTTATCCGGTATATCGGATACCGAATAGTCGGTATCCGGTATTAATACCGGTATACCGAATACCGGTTAATGCATTGAGATTATTTTTTCGAGCCGGTATACCGACCGATACCGAGTGGGCTGATTTGGGCTTTTTGTTCTTTTTATTTTTCTGAATGTTGTTTAATTAAATGATGTAAATAATTTTGTTTGTTTATTAATTATTAGTTATTACTATATTGTATTCTCTATAAGGAGACAGGGATAGCTTAAGCAGAAGAAAAAAGAGTAAGAGGAAGTACCTTAGCTCAGTTTTAGAATGTGCAATATCAGTCTGAATAGAAACATGAGGGACTGTAATCAATTGGCTTTCGTCTATACCATAAATTGCATGGCCACATATGCAACCTATTTGCCGACGCTTGGTGACCAAAATCAAATAACAAGACTCCAGAAACTTTATACAACCTGAAAAAGAGAACAGGGATCATTAACATGACAATCATCATGTCTTGGAAAGTTTGAAATAAATATAGCTTGTAAAGCGAACCTGCAATTCCGTAAACCTTTGCCACAAAAGTTAGGCCACCAGTCGAGCGATTTCCTTCAGCAATCCGCTGAAGCAAGCTCTTCATTTCTTGTGGGGAATAAACTACAGGGTCTTCGGTAAACCTTTTTATTCGGTATTCGGTATACCGATTTACCGTCGGTATATGACTGGTCGGTATTCGGTATACCGTTTGGCCAAGAAGTGCAGCCGAATACCGATTATAACCGGTTCGATACCCGGTATACCGAATACCGGTGTACCGAATACCAGCCCTACTTCTAATGGAACCTCAATCCTCAATTCTTTAATCCAAACCTTAAGATTCATTGAATCTCAAAATGAAAATTAACGATTATGATTCGTCGAAATTATCAAAGTACACTTTTAATTCATCGGAATTATCCAAACAATAGGTGTGAACGTACGCAGACATGCACTAGCTTTTGACATATATATACATATTTTCTAAACAATGAATATAAATTTTCTAAAGGTAAAAATTCATTATTCAAACAAAAGTTGATATCTAGTAAAAATTTGTGGTATGTTATATTAGGTTGATATGTAGTAAAAATTTGGGGTATGTTGTATTGGGATTTAATATTTGACGAACTAAAAATTTAAAATTTCCGTCCTAAACTTGAAAAATAGACACCTTTAGCCCTACACCCTAAATGAACAATCTCGCCGCCGTCTTGCCAAAAGAAGGAATCAACGGGCAAAGCAGAGCGGCGGGGGGTCATCTGGCTGGCTAGCAGACGAAGGAAGCAGAGGGAGAGGGCGGTGCTGATCGTCGAGCG